CTCAAATGCTGAAACACATCTAAGTAGAACTGTGATTACGACAATGGTTTAATGTAACCATGACAACTAATGTCCCCTAACCTTCACAAAAGTAGTAACTGAATACGAAACAGGTTGTTTTTGTGCCTAAACCCAACAAACCCCTCACCACAGAAGTGTAAGAGAGGAAAATAAGGGATCACAATGTAGTAAAAATAAAAAAAATATCATACATATTATACTGTAACTCTCCTGCTCTGAACACAAGCTCAAACACTCTTGAGCCTCACAAACAGGATTTGTTGCATTAAGACTCTCAGGTGTTCTTGTCATCTCTCGCACCTCCTGCAGCGTTATGAGGTCTGAAGATGAGCTTTAACTGAAAAAAAAAAATCCCTGATTCATGTTCTTTCAAAAGGCCCCGCGCATAATTATCCTCATGTAATCAAGCAAAAACAGCCATTTCTGGCATTTATGATTCATCAGCATTGTATTCAAGGTGTATGAGACGTGCAAACTCTGCGAGTGAATGGATCACGAGCCGTCTCAGCCTGGTTCACCGCGGATTTTATGCGATCAAACACAATGGCTGCAGAGATTTCTCCGAAATGAAATTTGGGTTTAATATTCAGGGAAAAAGACTTTAGATGGATGAGGATGAAGTTATATGAATGGCAATATCACGGTACTAATACTGACGCAAAAAACATGTACTTACTCTAGCTTCTGGAATAAAGATTTCATGTAGCAAAAATACACCGAACTGGTTGATGCATCAGTTTTAAATAAAGAAACTTTAGCGACATAAAATGTGAAGAACAGAAGTTAGAATTTTTATTTATCAAGTAAAAATGCCAAACAGTCATTTATCAGCTCATTGTAAAATGAAAATTTGCTAAATTTGGGCCGTTGGTCAAACAAAACAAGAAAGAATATAGAGAGAATAGGAGAATATAATCCACGTTCTTCAACATTTTCAGATATTTCTGATGAACTGATTCGTCTAAAAATTGAAAAGCAGTGGACTAACCGTTCCCTAGCCCTGTACTCCTACTGTTTTTGAGAGCTATGATGAAGCCTGACAGCAGATGATCACAGTGCTAACAACCTAATGTGAGATCTATTTTTAACCAACAAAATGTGTAGGCAGTCGGAGCGATGGTGTCATTAGGTCCTCCAGCAGCAGAGAGGACCTCGCGGGAACAGCGACAGCAGAACCACGACCGGCTTTTCTTCCACCGACTTGTGGGTGTTTTTACTTTCTCACATGGACGCCATGACGACAGATTGTCTGAGCGCCAACAGTTGTATATGTCTCCAGATCTGACAGCAACTGCCCGGCTACACTGTGGCCTGACACTGGAGGTAGTGGAGGATGGGAGGATGCAGCGCGTGTGTGTGTGTGTGCGCTTTAGGAAGGGGTGGCCTGTCAGTTCATGTTCAGCTCACCGAGGGGATTTTCTTCATTTTGAGCAGCTACATTTCTTTTTAGAAGATTAAGCTTTCAAGACTTTGAAAAAGAAGTTGAAAAGCCCCTTTAAAGTTGGATCAAATCATTATAATTCCCTCTATATTCAGTCCATTAAAGGTTTTTCACGCTGCCTAAAATGAATGCTTATGTATCTGATACCAAGCACGGCCCCAGCATCCATTCACCGGAGAGTATCTGGTGGTCAGCCTCAAGCGAGTGTGGTCGCATGTTGTCACGTTGTGTAAACGGGGTCCTCATGACAGGTTTATTACTCACTAACATGTCTCATGGCAGTGGTCTTTTATAGACATTAAAGCTGTGGTGTAGACATCTCAACCTTTTCAGGTTGTGGCCTCATAAACAAAGCTCTCAGTAAATGTCAGAAATTGATCTTTTTAGCCGCATATGATCGCTTATTTTCCCTAAGCCTGGGTGGAAGTGTTTTATTTCAGATGATTATAAATAAAGAATTCATTCTCAAAATTAAAAAAATATATGAATAAAATTGAAAAATAATGAACAAAAAATATAATAAAGTAAAACATAAAATACATATGAAAATGTTTTATTTAATTTGATTATCAATAAATATCAATGTCAATTAAAAAAATTAAATTAAATTGAAAATTGAAAAATAATTAATACAAAATAAAATAAAACTAAAAGAAAAAATGAATCTGTCTGAAAAGAAAATTTAAATAATAAAATATAAGTATAAAATATGCAATATAAAAAATGAACAGAAAACTATAAGAAAAACGTAATAAAAACTATATAACAAATATGCTAAGAATGTATATCAAAAAAAGGATTATATTCCAACAGCTACCACATAATATTCAGGCTCTGGTCTCCTCACTGAGGCCTGCTGGTGATATCCACAAAGCTTCTATTTAAAGCAGCCACTCCTGTGTAGTTTCAAAAGGCAATAATAAAATTATTTTTGAAATCTAGACTCTGACATTTACTCCACAAGTAACTGAAATGAGCCCCAGAGCTCAAGACCCAAGAATAGGATCCACAGTAATGGAGGCTGTATGTCATTTTCCTCCATGAAATATGTTCTAGTACCACGGCGACCTTTTTCTTAACTCCTTAGAGAAGTAAATACAAAAATCCTACATGGATAACAACAAACTCTCCAGAGGGGATATCCATTGTGGGCCGACTTCCAGATGATGGTTTTGCTGCTAAAAAAGGGAAATTTGGGCTTCAGTTGTAGAAAATAGAAGAAGCGACGTGGCCAGAAGAGTTGAATATAAGGTCAGTAAGATCACGACAAGGTCATTACCCCTGTGTGGTCATGTCCCAGGGTCACATGTCCGATCCCTGTTTTATGTCTGGCCTGCCTGGGAAAACATCGGAGCAAAAGTCACAGTCACACAGGATCCATCCCTGGAAACCAGGCAGGACTTTGCATACTAAACAGGCTGACATTTCCTGTGGGAAATCAGACTGGAAACAGGAGACGAACGGCTGATTTTAACACCGCAGAGCCCAAACTAATCGACTGAAATCCACGTGGACGAGGTAGGAGCCATAAGAACAACAACGCAACATGTCGGCCTGCTCCTGTTTGACCATTAATGGTCATAATAAGATGAATCGGTGTGATCTCACCGCTCGGGAATGCTCCCCACTTATAAGGACAAACTGCAGCTGGACAGAGGATGTGTTGATTTTGTGATATAAGTGGAATTGCTGTGATTACAATACCTTCTGAGGTTAACCTAATCATGACTCATCCTCCGATGTAAACAACTGCTTGACATGAGCACACTCAATTATCATGATCATTATGAATCGCAATGTAACCTACAAAAATATCTGGGACGCTTGACCTTTTCATGACTGATGAGGTTAAACGGGCCAAACGTCATTAGCCCTAATTGAATATCCGTATTAAAACGATAGCAATCAAAAAACATGAGATGGAGATTAACAGAGGGAGATCAGTCGGTATTTAAAACAACTGACATACAGATACTATCTAATAATTTGTGTTTGACCAAACACCGATACAAACAATTCAGGTAACGACAAGGAAAACAAAACATGTCAGCCTTGGTTTTTCAATGCTGTAGCAAACACTGATATATTAGACAATAATGTGCTTCCAACTTTGTGGCAGCAATTTCCTGTTTCGACATTGACAGTGCCCGAAAGTGCACGAAGCCTGGTCCATAAAGAAATGGTTTTTCAGTCTGGTGTGGAAGAACTTGACTATCCTGCACAGAGACACTGACCTCAACCCCAAGCAACACCTTCAGGGATGAACTGGAACACAAACACAAGCCAGGCCTTACGCCCAACATGTTATTCATATCACAGTCTATACGAATGTATATTTAAATCATTCAAATTCTGCGTCTCTGCTACTAATATTTATTTTATGTACTCAGGTCGCACTTGTAAATGAGATATCGATCTCAGTATGACTTGCTGAGTAAATAAAGTATAAATGAAATGTTGAACTTTGTGGTTGAATGGGGGCAAATCCCTGCAGCCAGCTCCAGAAATCTAGTTGGAGGCTGTTACAGCAGCAGATTAATGCCCATTTTGGTTTTGTTTAGCTACCACACATGGGAATGGCAATATATGAGAGGCCATGAAAGGTACTTTCGACCATTTGTTGTATCTGGATTTCACAAGCTAATTTGTGAGAATTACAAAACCACACCTTCATAGGACACCTTTAAATAAATACACTGACAATAACTATTACTTAACAGTTAAATTGTGATGAGGAGGATTTCACTTTTAAGTCGAGTGAAGGCAAAAGGAAACACGACCAAAGCTCTGCTCTCAGGCGCTCGGTCCTCTAGGATGCACGTCTCTAAAGGGCAGAAACACAGGGGAGATGAGAGGCTGTGGCCTGCCGGGACACCTGAGCCTGGCTTACTCTTAGACACACCAACACCCTCGCTCACACAGACACAAACACCAACGTAACTCGTTTATATTGCATGAGAAAAAGAGAGGCAGTCTGCAAAGGTGGTTATAAGATCCTCCTATTGGGAGCAGTGGGCGATTCCCCCCCCCCCCCCACCCCAGTGCCTCCGACCGTCACACCCTGCGGGCGCTCTGCTGCTCGGCTCACAAACAATACTGCCGCGCAAACCTCATTATGCAACAAAATGTTGCATTATGTAATATCTTTGGCGCTTTATATCTTCAAGATGATGCACTAGATACACTAGAAAGAGACTGCACGGCCTGAAAAGGGAAAAGGCACCAATGGGAGAGCTCTTTTCATCAGTTTGTCAGCGATGACTGACAGCAGAATAATGCCTCCGCCGCTCGAAAGATTTACACATTCGCCGGTGAAAACAGCAGGTTAAACTGCATCGAGTTCCTCCTGCATTGTGTCTGTTCTTATTTTCATCCTCTCTCAGCTTTGTGTAAAGAAACCTGGGTAGGCAGAATACCAACGACAAGAGGCGGTGTGTACATCTGTGATTACAGCCAGCGGCGAGCAGATCCGAAACCTGAACCTGACGCGTCTTTCTGCAGGGAGCACAAATAACAAGACGGGCTGCACGGGAGACGGACAGTCAGTGTTTATTAACAGAGTATTTACAGTCAGGGAGGAAAGCAGAGACGGCAATGTGTTGATGTGTCACTGTGCTACGTCTGTGAATCCTTATAGAGGATGTTTGCCACCAGCGCTCTCACTGCCGCCGTGTCCTCTGCGTCTGTGGAGGGAAAACATGAAATGTGACAATGACCATTGACACGGGACACTCAGTGTGTGACCAGATAAAGATTATAAGGGCTTTTCTTTACAGTTAGGCAGCCAGAAAATATCCAAATATAAGTGCAAGGTGAACACTCACAAATGTTCTTCTTACCTTTTTCTCTGTAGCCATGCTAGCTGCTCTAGGGATCAAAATGTCTCAACAACTTTTTCAGGAATTTTTCTGCAGACATTTATTGTCCCCAGATGATGAAATTTGGTGCAGACATTCATGCTCCCCTCAGGATGAACTGTAGCAACTCTGATCCCTTAACTTTTCCTCTCGTGCTTTCATCGGGTCAAAGTTTCAATTTGTCCAAAATAACTGCAAAGGCCACATTTTCATGAGCCTCAGCTGTGCTTTGTGTCAGTTGCTAATGTTAGCATGCTAACAGGCGACACTGCCCACCTTCACCCGTGCTGTACTGTACCGTGATCAACTGACTGACCCATACGTTGCTAATGTGCAGGAGACAGGAAGACATCACTCCCTTCATCACTCAGCAGTTTAAAGCTCCTGCAGAACCAGACGTTTATTTCCCGCCTTCAGTCCTGCTCTTTACTTAATGGATTGATTTTCACCCTTTTTTTTTTTTTTTTTGCATTTGCATCACTCGACACATCCATAGTGAAGTCGTTACCTCTCTTGCGATGTGAATCTAATTTTAATACAAGCTGAACACGTGCAGCAGCTGCTTCACAGTTAAAAACCAGTAGCACCTTCTTCTTTCATGCATTTCATCTTGGAAATGTTTCAGCTGCATCTGACTTTGAATAACAAAAGAAGTGAAATGTTAGACACCCTGTGGGGGTTTTAATCACCAGTTACACTATGAAGCCTTGTTTTTACCAGTGGGTCGACAAATTGTTCTTACGCATAACGCCATATGCACGAGGACAAATGCACACACATGACGTGACACACACGTGTGCCAATGTTTCCACAGTGACCGACAGTTGGCAGTAAAGCACCAACAGATGCAGCAAAGCGCCAGCAAAGGCAGAGAAGATGGAGACTAGCTAGGTGGTTAGCATGGATGTCAACAAGTCAGGTTTCAAGAAATTAAAAAAATAAACATCTTTCCAAATGTTTCATGAAGGAGAAAATGTATTCAGCACATCTGTTAAACCACAGGAATACACAAAGTGTTTTAGTGATTAACACTGAATGTTTACAAGATGGAGCACCTTTAATATTATACAGGGTGACAATGTTCTGTCTTTGGTGTCTTTCTATGTAAAAAATTATTCTATTTTAATGATTTATTGTTTTATTTATTATTCTATTATTATTCCATCTCATTTTACATTCATGTTTTTCATTTTACTTCAATGCTTTTCACGTTTTTATGTTCATCTTATGTAGCACTTCTTAATTTCTTTGTTGTAAAGCACTTTGCGCTACAAGGTGCAATACAAATAAAGTTTATCATCATTATTACCATTATTATTATTATTAATGTTGTCAAAAGAGACAGTGGTTGTCTCATGGATTAGGCCTCATGTATGACTGGAAACATTCACTGTGAAGCAGCTGCAGATTAACTGAGGAAACTACCAGCATTAATATATTAGAGTGGATCCACAGTGCATCTCATTCCCTGGCTAAACATCTACTTTTGTAGGCACAGAAGACTAATGTTGTGGTCAGTCATTGCCTACAGGACCTGCTGCACTTCTTACCTCCGGCGTAAGAAAACATTGCTTACCTGGCTCTGCTCAGCACTATCTCTGACACGCTCATTTTCTCAAAGTCGAAAAACTAGCAGATGACTGAACTTCCTCAATCACGAATAACTGAAAGGCAACGAGCACGTAGAAGGAGCTGTCCATATTTAGAAACCTTCTCACGTTGCGATGGAGAACTGACAAGACTCTTCGTAATCACCCCTTTGGCTAAAGGGCGGTTATTAAGGCGAATGAACAGCGGGGAAGAGGCTGAGAGCGGCTGCTGACATTTCAGGGAGGTCAGGGCGAGGCAGCAAAACACAGCTAACACCTACAGTAGGACTTTCCACCCTCGTTTCCCGTGACTTTTATTGTTCGCTTTCCGTTTGTTTTAATGAACCTCAAGCTATTTTTTGACAGCAATTTGGTCGCCTGAATGGTAGACAGAGATTTGACACAAAGCCAAATATCCTCTCCCACACACACACACACACACACACACACACACTCTACATATCAAACATATTTTTACACTATTATTTGTCCTCGGATGTCTCCTCTCCTCTCTCTCTCTTTCCTTGTCCCTAGGCTGCTACATCAGACATTTTCCACAGCGGGTTGGGTAACACGCCTGTGAAATCATCGTCGAAAGAAACACAACAGGCCCAGAGGTTGAATTATTAACACAGGCAGCAGGAAGCTACGCTAACACCCACCAACAAGCTTCCAAAAAAAAAAAAAAAAAAAAATCAGCTGGAACTTGCATTTTCATCTGCGATTACAATGCTCCAGCAAATCCTGTTTGTGAACATCTTTTTCTTACTAAATAGGCTTCCACTCATTTCACAGCGCCTTCCTGACATGAGGAGGTCGACTCGCTGGTCATCCATGCAGACCGAAAAGCGCGGGCTAATTTGTAATTTAATCAGCCTTTCCCTCTCTTGTGAAAACATTTTATATCCAACACGCATAGAGACTGAGAACACACGAGGACGGAGGAGAGATTAATCTTCTACCACAAAAGGGACATTAACAAAGGAAATTAACAGGAAATAAATAACCATTGTGCGCATTTACAATCATTAACCCAAGTTATTGACTTGGTTAATCATTGTGTTGGGAAAGTGCCTGAACTGCAGAGGCACAAATTTCAGAAACGAAGCAAAGAGTCAGAGAGCGGCATCCTTGGCTTCAGCGGTCTGTGTGTTTGTGGATCACAGCTTCACTGTTCACTGACCTGCCGTGGATTTATATACATTTGGAAGCAGAGAGAAAAGCATTGGATTAGAGGCTCTCTGAATCAATTCCCTCACTGGCCTCTTCCTGTACGTGCACATGTTGCCGTCTTTTAGATTTTAAATATATCAAACCCTGTTATTTTTCCAGCAACAGCATTAATATTCAATGTATTTTATCCCCTCTTTATATGTTTTATATTTTTCTGCCATTTCTTGCACTGAATTCAGGCTGCCTACTTTAGGACAACAGGTTGATAAAGAAAACATGACGCCATGTTTGACCTCTCATTCAGGCAGCAGACACGATGCGACTAATGACAATGAAGTGATTGATAACACTGATTCACAACTTTGTGCACTGCTGTTTATATATATATATATATTTATATACACACACACACAACCCGAGGCACGCTCCTTCCTGTCTGGGCTGCTTCTCACCAAACCACTAAAGTAAACTTTGCCCAGTAGGTTTCTGTCTGACTGCAGCGTAAGGACGTGTCAGAGTTGCATTACGTCACTGCTGACAGTTGCTGCTGCTTTACATTAAAAGCGTCCAACTAACGAAAACACAGGGAGTCTTTTATTGTGAAGCAGCTGCAGGAAATGCATCGTCAGTAATAGAAACAAGCAGGAGTATATGCAGCGCGCAATCATATCGCAAGTGCAGTTGTGCGAGTTTGTTTGGCTGCACTATAAACACAGTCACCAGAATTTGTGAATTCTGTTTGTTGTTTTTAAACAGAAGAAGAAATGGTGACGGGTTCTCCTCAATCACTTGTCTGTTCCACTTATCAACAATTCTGTTTGTGCCTGTGACTCCTGCACGAAGCCCTTTTAAAAAGTCGCCAGCAAGCAGGATCTCGTTAGTGAAGTCTGTCGTGTCATCATTTTCCTCTCCCCTCGTCATTAATATTCGGGTCCGAGTGTCGCAGCTAAATGGCAGACGAGTTGACTTCAAAACAGTCGCAGTCGTCCTCTCGTCCAATTACAACAACAAACAGAGGAGACGTCGGTGTGAATTTAATTGGGGGGGGGGGGGGGGGGGGGGACTGAATCAGCTTCCTAATTAATGACTGCGTGTCTGGTGTACTCACCGACTCCCAGCGCCTTCAGGTGGTTTTTAAACTCGGGTTTCTCCTCCAGGACCCGCAGCATGTTCGTGGACTCCATGCGCTCCAGCTGCACCTTCCAGTAGATGTGGATCTTGTTGTTGAAGCTCACGTACACGAGGCAGGGGGTGTTTTTACCCTCCTTACATGTGTACTGACCTGCAACCGCACACGCAAACACATAAATAACCCTGGAATTATGTATATAACACACAGTTTTTACTCAGTATGTGGCAGCCAGTGCCATGATCAGGCCCGGTATATGAACCCAACAGCAGCAATCCTCTGCTGCATGGCTACTAGTGTGTGTCTCTGTGCTAAATCCAGCTTCTGCACAAACAGAGAAACCAGTCTAATCTGTTCTAATGATCGCACAGAGCAGACAGGGAGCAGATTGGAGGGGTGGACTGTTTTCATACACATAACACTCTCTGGGTGCGACAAAACACGACTCAGTGGAATGGGGAATATCAAGGTCTCTTGTCTCTTTAATCCACTTACTACTGCACATGTCACATTAGCTCTCTCAGATAAACTGTGGCCTGTTCAAACCCTGCAGAGAGATGTGAAAGGACAGAGGAGGAAGAGCAAAAAAAAAAAAAGACAAGAGTGAATCTGCAGCTCAATGTTGCCACCTAGTGGCGTCATGTTAGAAATTCAAGCCAAACCCAGAGAGGTGACAGGCCTCTGAACATTTGCTGCAGGGCCATGAGGATTCAGGATGATTGGGCAAAAAAAAAAAAAAGAAAGCTGAATAATAATGATATAAATTTAAAGGCTATTTTCGTGGTAATAGTCTTGAATTTGGAAATCTATGCTGCAGTTTCCCTCATCACTCTCTGTGACGAGAGAGTGAAGCTTCAGTTTCTAGTTTTGTTTTTGATGCCTCTCTTTTCTCTCCCTGTTCTCCATCATTTTCTAACTCCTATCCAGGCTTATCTGTCCGAGTCCCACCTGTGCCTGAATCTACATGATTAGCTAACTCGCCTTTAAATCTGTACTGTCATTGTCAATAACAAAATTATCCATGATGCAAAAAAAGGGAAGCGTGCACTATTAAATCTAATCTGATAAATTCAGATCATCTGGGGCCAAGAATGAGAAACATGAGGCGTCTCACCGGCACAGAAAGCGTTGACGTTCTCATCGAACTGGAACCGCACTACCGTCCGATTGTGGTCGATGATGTAGGTTTGACCGTCCCAGGCGCAAGCGACCACCTCCTCTCTGCCGTCACCCTGGAGGCCGACACACATGTACATGCTCGGTGTCGGGGCGGGTTTGGTGCATACACACAGAGGTTTCTTCTATCCAAGATGTATCTGGTCATTTTCCTGTATCACTGAGTGTTTTTTGTTTTTTGTTACTGTGTTACTTGTATTTTCTTGTTGAGTTTTGTGTATTTTACAGGCTGATTGAGGAGCAGGCGTTGGGATTAGCCAAGGCTTCAGCGCTGTGCCCTGGAAGATCTTTAAAAATCTGTTTTGTTTATTTTATCTTTCTCTATTATTTAATTATTGGATATTTTCTTCTACTTTTATTCTCTGTACTTTTATGTGCCTGATGTTATTTAACTTTAATGTTGCTGTGTTTAAAGTTTTAAGCACTTTGTAACTTTATTTTGAAAGGTACTTTTTAAATAACATTTGATTATTTTTAAATGAAAACTAAATTTGTTGATTAAGTGGAAAAAAAAAGAACAACCAATAAATTGATAATAAAAACAAAGGTGATGTTGCAGACTCACAGTGACGTCGAGCTTCTGCAGGGCGAAGAGCTGGTGATCCACCTGCACTGACCACAGCAGCTGCTCTGAGCTGTCCATCAACTTCAGGGTCCCTTAAACATGTGAAGACAAAGACAGATGTGAAAACAATATTAAAGGACAGTGCTGACTGTTCAAAAAAACTAACTGCTATTGAAAATAAAGAATAAATCAGTAAATACTCCAGATCTGTTCAAATTTGCTTCCTGAGAAATATTGTGAGAAATTTGCTTTTCACTCATTTCACAAAGAAAATAACTTGTGTCCGACTTTTTATTAAAAGGGAAACGGCAGAAATGAAAAAGTACAAATCTCTTCCACAGACCAATAAGATTCTGACAATAAGAGCACGACACAATGAGTTTAACCTCGAGTTCAGTCACGTCTTTGTGCCAATAATGTGAGACTTAGAATATCAGTGCTGACACTTTCACACTGTGCTGTTCTTGAAAAATAACACCTGAGATGATGATGATGTTGAACAGAACAGAATTGAAATACAGCCAGTAATAGTAGTAGTAATATCTTATTACCACTACTTTGTGGTTATAACTCTAAAAACTCCTCGTGGTGAAATGATGTGTTTTCTCTCAGTTGGCTCGTCGTGGTGTCGGTATGAGAGAGATTGTGTAAGTAAAGCTGGCAGCGATGATAATCCCACTGGATCCCCTCTTCTTTAAATATTGATAGACTCTCCAGCTGCTGTGCGAGCTGTTTGCCAGTTATCTGCTGCTGCCAGGAAGATCTGCTCCATCAGCTAACAGCCACCAAACCAACGCCGCGGGGTCCACCACTCCACCTGTGGCACTTATATTGCTCAAGATATATGGCGCACACTAATTTACCCTTTACCTTGTTAAAGAAACACCCCGCGTTGACTGATTAGATAAGGCTGCTTCAACATCTGCTCCAGAAGAAGGAAAAACATCACACCTTTCTCTGCGTTAAGTTCTGCTCCAGTTCATGTTCACACTGGATTTTTAAGGAAGAGTAAAGATGAAGTCACAGAGACGGACAAGTAACTCGCGGACTGGACAGATTTGATGACCGTTGCCCTGCATCATCAGCACGACATGGACCCCGAGGGGAGAGGCTGTCAGCGAATGGTGCAAAACATTTCCCGTGTATTATGTGTTTATTTCCCTACTAAGTTAGTAACGAACGTTTGCATACGACATCAGGAAATCAGTCACAAACTCCTGCACTTACCGTCTAAAGTGCAGAGAGCGAAGAGGCCACATTTAGAAGATTCCTCTTTTGAACCTGATGGAAAACAGGGATTGTGTGTCAAAACTTATTCTCCACATTTTTTAGATCTAGTTTTATGGTCACATCCCTTCTTCAGAGGATATAACTAACTTGGTGTACAGCAGAAGAAAACCAGCTGACTGTTTGGTACCTTTGCTTATGCTGCCAATGAGATGAGTGGACACATTCTTGTTGTGTATCCGCCCAGTGGTCAGATGGAGAACTACGTCTCTGGAGGGCCCCTCGCTGCGAGCAGAGAAATCAGAGCTTGTAGTCAATGTAACCAATGACACTTTAATCGACACGAGTATCACGACAGGGTCTACCTCCCCGGGGTGGCAGGGGCGTCTTCTCCGGAGCCGGAGGAGTCCTGCTGCGTCCAGGAACACAGCAGGATGGCGTAGCCGCAGCCCGGCTGAGACACCATCAGCTCTGGGAGACCCTCTGGACCTGGGTTCACTGACAGACTGTCCACCTGCAGCACAGACGACATCATTACACTCTGAGGTTTCAACTGTGTGACACTTGAATAACAACTGAACTGAATTTATCTTTTCATAATGTTTTTTTTTCTGTAAGATTATATTTCTGTAAAATGTACAAAGTCAGCATCAACCTTATTTCCTGGATTATATTTTTCTATTTTAACTCATTTTATTCTTTGTATTGAATTAATGTATTACTCTCTGTTGTTTCATGTCTCAGCACTTTGTGTCTGTGTTAAGAAAAGTGCCAAATGAATAATGTTATTATGGGGAAAGGTGGTTATCCAGGAAAGGAATAGTTTGGCATTTTGGGAATTATGCTTATTGGCTTTCATGCAAAGAGTTAAATGGGAATCTGATGATAAGCGATAACCACGAATACCACTGGTAATAATAAATGTTATAATTAAATCTAGATCACTGCAAGCTAAATAATGTTATTCAGCTTGTTGAAAATAAAAATTCAGCTCCAGGGACCTTCTGTAAAGTTCTAACGGTGCTAGTGTTACCTGCCCCTCCAGAAGCCACTTCTTCAGCAGAACCAGCTGAGCAGATCCCAGGTCTGAGCCGTCAGACGGCTCCTCCCAACGGAAAGCTCGCACCACCCGGTCTGTGTAGCCCACCACCAGCTCACAGCGTCCAGCGGGTTCTGCAGCCACACACACACACACACACACACACACTGCAGTAAGACTCCAAAGCACAATACACAGGATGCACATACGTGACCACAGAGCTAAACATTTACCGATGTCACTGATGAGGATGACTTTGGTGTTGGCGGGAATGTGCTGGGTGAAGAAAGGCTTCTGGTCGTCAGAGGACAGGAATTCATGCTGACTGGATGAATCTGCTTTGTTTGCAGTGGCGGCTGTCAGGTCAAAGAGGTGGAACCAGCCCTCTGCACCCACAGCTACCACCAGGTTCTGACAAACAGGAAAACACAAAACAATGTTAGAAACATAACGACCTGTAGATCCGTGACATGGTGCTGCCACTCGTTTACAATTTCACTTCCTTACCTTTCCTTTGTTGCAGACGTCTCCAATTGCAACACAGGTGAGCTAGAAAACCAAGACACACTGTATGAGTAAGAGAAACAAACTCACTGTGTGAAATCACAAGCTTTTAACCCCAGTGATGTTGTTTCTGTACTGACCATGCCCACACAGGTCCTGGTGATCCAGGGTTTGCAGTCATCATTCTTATACACAAGCAGCTTTCCACTGGTGTCTCCTACAACCAGCTCGTTCAACTACAATGAATGGAGACAAACATCTCGTTAAAGGAATAGTATCTTGCGACTACAGCTGTTAAAGCACTGTGCAAAAATAACCTGAAAATTGTTGTTAATCATGGTTTTGATCTGTACATTGCTTTGGACAACATCTAATTTCTCTTCTGGTTTCCAAATAAGTGATAAACTGTGGAAGGGAAGCCGTAAAGCAGCATATGCACACCTCAATGTTGTGTCAGGTGTGTTTGCAAGAAGGCAAAAACAATATCAAAAAGAGGAAGCACTCAAAAGTCTTGCAGTGTAAAGTTTTCCCATGCATTTTCTTAAATCTGCATTCACTCAATCGACATATTTTCTTCATTGTTTGCATACACTGCTCAACAACCACGAATTCAGAGGAAATATTAATGCAGCTCTGGGTGTTACTGACTGTTGGGAGAAAATTTTCATGAGCTGTGAACAGATTAACCTGGAATTAAAAAGTGAAATTAGTGTAATTACCGAGTCGTTGTCCGCGTCTCCCAGACAGATCGCATGAGGAAACAGAGTCCCTGTGAAATCCAAGCTGACCCGCTGGGCATAGTTTAAAGACCGCATAGCTACTACTGCTGGCTAAATTAAACCGCGTTTAAAACCTATATAAAACCGCAGAGTCACCCTAAACATTTGGGGAACTTCTTAGCTCGTGTGTTGATAGCTAGCTTAGCTACCGTCAGCTCTCCAAAGTCGAGGCGGAGACGCTAAAGCTAATGTTAGCCTTGCGTAGAAAGCGCGATATAACACAACTAACTGCTTTTTAAAACACGTCTTCGTCGACTTAAGTTTAAAAGCAACAAATATTGTAATGGCGAAATAGGTGTGTAGCTGCTAGCTGTTGACATACACACACGCCACTTCGTAGTAAACAAAACCATGTGAACGAAAGCCTACGGAATCTCAGTATAGACAAGATATCTATTTCGCAAACCTGACCACGGCTCCTCGAGTCACTAGAGCACAGATTTTTACTTGCTTTACTTTTATTACATGTTTTTTCTTGTGTGTGAATGTGTATCACAGTTATACATATGAAAGAAAAAACAACAATTAAACAACTGGGATTTGATAAAGCTTGATTAGCACGTCATTTGATTCAATAGGGGGCAGAATAGTGACACCTAGCGGCAGTAGAGTGTAAGTGCACCAAAAGACAAACATTTATTTTACTCCCTTTGAATGACACTATAGCAGGAAAAATACAATGCTGTGCACACAATTTAGGTCCAAGAAGTAATTTGACGATGCTTTTAAAAAATAATACCATGAACTGTTTTTATTTATCGCCAGTAGTGTTCAAAGTATTTGACAGGTAAGTTGTTCCAAGCGTATTGGAGAAGTTGCCGCTTTTCCTCAAGTGTCTTCTGTCTCTTCATGTGATCCCAGACTGACTCCATGAAGTTGAGATCAGGTACTGCCCATACAGTACTGTATGTTTTTATGCAGCCCATCAACCCGGTGCAGAAGAATCAGACCATGTCACCATCCCATATGTAATCCATTACTGGGGAAAGTTTGTCTGAAATACCCATTGGATAAAAAAGTTTGTTTACAAGTTAATTAGAGATGATTAGTGTTATCCCACAAACATTGCTTGTCAAATAAGAAATAACTGGTGAATCAAACTAAACAACCATCCTTATATTGTTTTATTTTTAAGGTGCCAACATTGTCCTCTGGAGGGCGCTGCTCTATCACAACTTTTCATGAGTGAAAACAACCCCGGCAGCAAATACCTCAGAGGAGGCAGAAGTCCATTACAGAAATCTCTATTCTAACAATGCCATAAAGTTATTGTGAGTGTGAGCGCGGCTGCATTGTATATTTCTATTTTGTTTTTCTCTCCCTCTTTTCATCCTCCCTTTATTTCTTCTGACTTTATTACATTTTCTTCTCACATTGCACAGATCTAAGTTATTTGTGGGCTATAAACACATATGCGTTTGCCATTTCTGTGTGAAACGGGTGATTACTTACTAGAAATTTCACTCACTCTGCTGTAACGTTTAGTTTAAGTCTTGGCCCTGAGTGTCTGAATGTCTCCTCATATCTGAGGAGTCTGTGCTGAAATGTTCATATATGCTGAATGTAGCTACTACACTGTTATTCGTGTCAGTTTTACATCAAAATATCGTTTATAACTTACTAACTACTCTAAACAGCTTTTTTAAAATATGTATTTTGCATGTTAATAAAAAAGATTGTTGCTGCTTTAAAAGTCTCGTACAAACATGGATCCACTGCTACTGGTGCACCTGCAGAACCAACACAAAACTGTGAGAAAAACTGTTTTTAATGACAAACAAATTGAAAAATAATCCCTCACGCCACACACACAGATTATCATGGGTGCTTATAAGTTTTTGTTTTATTATCTCCCAAACAGAGAACTCTCCCTAAAGAAAAGACAAAATACAGAAAGTGGTTAAATGGGAACTGGGCGCCCAGATGTCATATTAATTATTACACTCAGCTATGACTGGAAAGCCCCTCAAGTAAAGTGAGCGCCCTCCCAGCCTCTGGAAGAGCCGCAGCAGAGAGAGAGAGAGAGAGAGAGAGAGAGAGAGAGAGAGAGAGAGAGAGAGAGAGAGAGAGAGAGAGGGAGGGAGAGTCCTCACAAAGCGCTAATTGGACTCTGGAAGCGCACTGACAGGGCATGGATAGGTTTCAGAAAGCCTGGCGATGGCGAAGGGGTGCAGGGGGAGGCTGAATAGAACCCACGCTTTCTTTTCTAAAAACTTCTCTTTGCTTGGCGCCAAAAAAAAAAAAATAATGGGGGGAGCGGGGCAGAGGGAGGAGAGAGGGGGTAAGGGGGGAGAGGCAAAGAAAAGAAAGTATTGGTGTTGGGGGGCGGGGCTGGGGTGCAAACCTGAGTCTGAATGCCACTGCCAACGCAGAAAAATTGCACAATTTATTACAATCCCCTCTTCAGGACGCACAGAAACAAAGGAAGAGAGGAGGGGATGTCATTGGCGCACACACGCACATGCACACGCACATACACTGACAGAGAAGTGTATCCTGCGCAAAAACTGTAAACCTGCGCACAAGTATAAAACCAGTGTTCATTTTCTGTTTAATCTGTGTTTTATTGCACATACACACACCGCACACGCACAAATGAATTGCACACACGCACGGAAAGACAGAGAGCACGGAGAGAGAAGAAATCCATCTGCAAAAACTGAAAAATTGCACAAACTGAAACCAATCTTTTTTTTTTTTTCACTTTGTGATGGGTTAATGCACATGCAGCGTGCACGCGCATACACACGGACACACACAAAAACAGAGAGGGTATTACAGTTTGGCCCTGGTTTTGTTCCGCGCTGAAAGACGTGTTTTCATATTCTGCACTTTTCAAAGCGACAATAATCGGCAGAGCACAGCGCGTCCACGCTACTGTAACTATACCGGGTGTATCAAATCATACACAATGCCTCCTCCGAGCTGCTTCTTAGGGCCCCTCCGCAGATTTGCGCCCCTCCGTTCCGCCTGTGTGCGGCTGATGATCTGCTCTAATCAAAGTGGAAAATTCGGCCTCTGATGCACAATGGTCCCTCAAATGAGCGGCATTCAGACGCGTCTGTAACGTGAACAATAAAAGTAGACTGCGCCGCAGCAGCTGATTTACATGCAGAGCTCTCAGAGCAGCTCCAGCATGAGGAGGAGAGCTGTGGACGGTTCGCGGGGAGGTGAGCTCTCTTTCAGCACCACACTCTGGTCCAGAGCTGACGTAGGAAAAGATTTTTAAAATGTATTTCTTATTTCTCTTATGTCATATTTCTACAGATCCCTTCATTTCAACAACGTCTCACGCTTTTGTAAACAACATGTTCCTCTAAACACAAACCAACACAAGACGACTGGAAAGTACAAACGCTACTGAGAACCAGGCTTCCTTCACAGTAACTGGAGGTGCTTCACCGAAGTGGCGGGAAAGTACCTGCTCTCATCTTAACTTTGAAAATGTTCGATATGTTGAGCTGATACTTGGTCAAAGTTTCAATGTAATCAATAAAAGATCCAGAAACAACCACAGGAGCTTTTTTTCTTCATATTTGATGATAAAATAAAAACAAAACTAGGAAATAAAAGTTGGAAACCAACTGATTCTCATTCACCAGTTTCAAAGAATGAGTTTGTTTTTGAGCAAAACTCTCGAGTCACTTCATCACGCACGGACGCCGCGTGCACTTGTGGTCCTGAACGATCCTCTGCGGCTGGAAACTTCCCTCTCTGTTGTGGTCGCTCACCTACTGACGTGATAGATAGAAAGAAAAAAACTCACCACTGACTGTTTGTTTAGTGCTTCAAGTGGCACGCGTCCGGCGCGCGCAACGCACCGGCGCAGGAGCCCAAGGTGGATCCACGCGACCGGAGGGCGTGGCCAGTCCCCCATCCAAACGTATTGAAAAGCAGTGGCGTCTTTCCTCGAGGACTCAGAGCAGCTTTGAGGAGCGCGCGAGGCAGCAGCCCAGCTGACTGCCCCCACTGAAACAAGTGCGCGTCAAGCGGTTACACCACGTGAACGGCACGAGCGGGACGCACCGCCGCGAGACTTGGTGATTTCTTTATAAGTTCGTGTTTTTTTCTTTACTGGGAATGAACCTCACAGCCAAGATGGAAATTAACGTCAGCCAGCAGCAGCTCATGCCGCCCGCTTGTTTCTTCTCTGCCGCTGCAGCGGCGCAGAGCATCCAGCTGAGCCCGTGCGGCAGCAGCCAGAGCAGCGGGAAGTCAATGTCCAAGCAGCCCAAGAGGCAACGCTCCTCCTCCCCGGAGCTGCTGCGGTGCAAGCGGAGGCTGAATTTCGCGGGTTTCGGCTACACTCTTCCGCAGCAGCAGCCGCACGCAGTGGCGCGGAGGAACGAGAGGGAGCGCAACAGGGTGAAGCTGGTGAACAACGGCTTCGCCACCCTGCGGGAGCACGTCCCCAACGGCGCCGCCAACAAGAAGATGAGCAAAGTGGAGACGCTGCGCTCCGCGGTGGAGTACATCCGCGCCCTGCAGCAGCTGCTGGACGAACACGACGCGGTGAGCGCGGCGTTTCAGTCCGGCGTGCTGTCGCCCACCATGTCGCAGGGATACTCCGCTGACATGAACTCCATGGCAGGTTCTCCGGTGTCCTCCTACTCATCTGACGAGGGTTCCTACGACCCCCTCAGTCCAGAGGAGCAAGAACTGCTCGACTTCGCCAACTGGTTCTGAGCATCTGTATGAGGTAAGATGAAGCGCAACTTAATATCAGACACTGTTACAGAAACACATATGAACATCCACGTCTAACACCCCGAACAGTCGCTTAACCTTCTCTTCTTCTCTCCGCAGAAAATATGGATCAACTCAATTCACTGTTGTCTGCGCTTGGGATGGTCCCGGAGGAGGCTGGGTGTCCTCAAGAACAAGATGCACTGTACGCGCGTTTTGGTCCTGCATCCTTAACGCCCGGTCCTCCCAGACTGAAAGACAGACAGACAGACAGACAGACACGGTCGAAACGTCCTGAAAACTTGGGGAAAAAATCAGGCCAGAGATCAGCGCCAAAGGATTAAAGGAAGACGGGTCTCCTGACAGCGTGGGAATCCAAGCTTCTGTGCATTTGCCCATGACAAACAAACAAACAAACAAACAAACAAACAAAAACAACCCTAAAGTGAATTCATGCTCTTCAGCAGCACATTAAAAACATTATTTAATACGTCGCTCTTCAACTATGCTAAATCCAATCACAGAACACCAACCCTTTGGTAAACCTCTCAGACGTTTAATTCAGAAAATGCTTCCAAGTCGCGGATTTATTCTATAAAAATCTATATCAAACGCTTTTTTGAAATATATTAAGATATTTTTGTATGTAAGAGATTTATAGATGTTTTGTACACATCCTTTTGTATATATTTTGTCTATATATTTGCGAAGTTGCTTCTATACCTCCTGCCTATGTAGACGTGTAGTCTATTATTCTCTGGCTCTTCTGTTCATGAGGTTTCCAGATGGAGTTTGATACTCCGACGTTTTTATTTTAGCACCAATGTGTCTTATTTAATAGCAAAACCATGTTATTGCATTATGTCATGAAGTTCACGATGATCAAAACTTATGCAGCTATTGTCCAAACAGAGCGCAATGGCCATGCATTGTCTCTTTATACTGCCAGCTCTATATTGTCTTCACATAAACAGATGTTGGAAAAAAAAGAAGTCTTATAACCATATTTTCTACACTCTAGTCCAAGAATAAAATCATTTGCTACTGAATTCCTTTCCATGTCTTGTTTTTGGGTGTATTTACAGAATGGGTGGACACTTGTTTACAGCTTTCAGTGTCTTTAGTAAGCAGCTAGACGAAGAGGGAAGCGAGAGGGAATGATGGAGCTAGAGTATAAGATACAGCCTGCACTGCAGGGGCAAGACGGCGAAAGAAAACCCACTTTTACGCACAATTACGCACATTTTACGCACCATATTTTCTCACTCCTCTTTAGACATTCCACACACGGTGCCTGCTTAAAGCTTTTAGCCACCAATCCCCACAATAAATCCCTAAATGTCCAACTCTCTCCCCTGTCTTTTTACTATATGGAGTGTATACAAAGGAGATCACAGTCGTGCAAAGCGCAGTAAGCACATCTGGTAGCACAAGTGCATAAAAATGAACCCCTCTCTGTGAATCTCTGAGCATGCAGCCAAACAAGCAGCAGCTGTGACACACAAGTACTGATGAAGAGCTGATAGTTTCTCTTAAGAGGAACTTAAAGTGAACAAACACCAGCAAAAATAATGATAAATTTCACAAAACTAATCTTTATGATCGGTGAAAACGTCTTATCCTCTCCCTCTGGACTGTAGCTTTAATCGGATGCAAGCTGTTGTGTAACGTGCATTCACCAAAAGTTGCAGAAAGCATCAAAGTTTTTTTTTCAACGTAGTCCCCAGCTTCAAGGGAAACTTCGATTTAAAAAAAAAAAAAAGCGAGAATATTTATTTATCAGGACTGACCTTTAAATTAGCAGATGGAGGGAATGTCAGTGGCGTGATTACACTTTAGCTGCCAGCCATAGATTTTGAGGTAGGGGCCTTTGTCTCTGAAAAACGAAGTTTGACAGGTACGGCGGAGGCTGCGACGGGACGCGTGTCTGGTTTAATGAGTGAATGGGGTTTGTGTGTGGTGGTCGAGTGGAGACACGGAGCTGAACTGGCTGATGGCGTGTGCCTCCTGACAGCAGCATGCCGCTGAACACACAACAATCACCACCTGGGAAGGAAAAAAAAAAAAAAAAAATCCTCTGTGTGTGGCTCCGGTTGGAGATACTTTGGCTGCTGCTGTTTCTTTCACCTTTTTTAACTGCAGTGAAAAATAACGTCAAATAAATTGTTTTTATTACTTTGATTCTCATGAGAAAGAATAAAACATTTGAGCCACGTAGAGAAACAAGCTCGTGTTGTGTTTAGGGTTCATTGTACAAGATGTGCGCGCGCCTCATCAGTTGTTCTCAAAAGGAGGGTTCACGGACCACCAGGGGGCCCTGAGAGGAGGGGGGGGGGGGGGGGGGGCGGGGGGGGGGGCGCTGATTCAGCAGGAATGTAGTAAAAACTACTGATAGTAGAAAACACTCGCAAATGTATTATTATTATTTAACTGAGACTTTCACTTTCACCGTTATTGTCTCATCGGTCATAAAATACAAGAAGAAAAATAATGACGTTTTGTTTGAGTTTTAGACATGATGAAGAGAAGTTTGCTTAATGTGGTTCCCTACAGGCTCATTGAATCATTATTCAATCTGAGAATAAACAATCAACCGTCCAAACAAGTTGCCCAACCACCAGAACTGCAGGACTGAGACCTACTGCTCTCAATCTGACTGGCAGACCCTGTCACACTCATACTGATACTGGTAAAGACAAAAGAAAACACAAACCATCATCTAAAGAAATTACACGTAATTCTTTTTCACATAAAATCGAAAGAAAAAAAAAAAAACTTGCCTCCATGACTCAGTAAATAAATTATGATAAAGTGACAAACACAAAAAAGGTTAAACTCATACTCGCCTGTTCTATATGTGAATATACCTGAAATGTATTTATATAGCAAAGTTACTAACTGGGCTTTTAACAGGACACTCTCAAGTCGTGAGATTCATATCAACATAATTTATTTATTCCAGTTCATTCAGACAAGAAACAAAATGATCTTGAAAACTCTGAGGTGCCACATAAAAGACAATATGAGAGAGGCAACGTTAAACACAGGCAGCAACATACAACACGCCTCCACCCGTGTACACACCCACACATGAACATGCACTGTGGGTAAACACGTCTTCCACGGAGATGGCGCTTTGCCAGTTTATTTTTACCTGCAAACTCTTCATGACCGCCTGTGGCACAATGTTGACGCAACAGTAAATATCTGTAAATACATCGTTTGCTCTCTAGACCTCAAACGAAGTCATTATATATTATATAAGTTTGGTGATTTTAAGAAACTTCAGTCTTTTAAAAACAATAATAAAAGTTTTAAAGAATAATTTCCAAACCTTTTTAGCAGCAGAGTGTAATTTACACAAACTGCCCTGTCAGGTTCTTGCTGTGTTTTAATTACACGGCCGTGACATTGATAAAGGAGACAGTAAGATAAGGACGACAGGGGAGGATATCAAAGAGGAGCACTGATAATTATCTGTTTTTTTCAGAATCTCATTTTAAAAGCAGGTTGAACATCAGCCTGTAGAGTTACACTTTCCTCTACATGATGACATGCTGCTTACAGGACGGCCCTGAGCTAACAGTCCTGGGTCTCTGCCTGTCACAGCCCATTATGTTTTCCTCTGGGGCGGTCTGTCTGGTGTGTATGAACCGCAGGAGAGCACGGCCATATCTAATTGGCAAGGCTGGGCCAAAACAATAGCTCCAACTACACTGGTTGAATATCCTATTGAATATCATTCATCAGTGTTGATTAGGTTGGATAGACGAGGGCAACAGTCTCCGCTGCTACCTGCTCAAATATTGTTTTGGTTTTTTCTCTTTTTTACTCCACAACAACAAGCAGTTGTTGCATCAGCACATTCACATGAACCACTCCCCTGAAGCAGAGTGTCACTGCAATTTTCTAAAAGACGTTTCACAGTTTGTGACTAATCCAGCCTGTATAACAGCTCCTCAGTGAACTCTTGATGCAGTGAGAGACGAGAACGTGCACAGCCGCAGAACATTTCAGCACCATAGACAGCACTTTACAGCTCTGTGAAAGGTTCCACATCTAAAAGACACAACAGGCCGTTTTAATACTGATTTTCCTTGTAGCGTTATCTACACACATCTGGATGGGGGGGGGGGTCACAGGGAATCATCAAAACATCTTTAAGTATCATGAGGTGTTGCTCCACCTTTGTCAGCTGATTTCACTGCAATTTTAACCTGTAGTGAAATTAAACATTTTTAAAAGGAGCAATCTGTATGTACTGCTATTGCTACATAGCTAACATTAGCATTAATCAGCAGTGATTGCTCAGGTATGTGTGTGTTTTCAGGTGAGGTAGTCTGGACGGAGATCGTTTCTGATACGGAGTTGAAACAGTCTAAGAGCTTCAGCCACTGTTGCATTTACAAGACAAGAGGTTATAAAACAGCCTCTGAGCAGCGCTACTTCTTCAGGGCAAACTGGATGCTTCACTGACTCGGTATCGGAAAGTGAGGAGAGGGGCCGGCAGAGCTGGAGCTAGCTGGTTAGCATGCTAACTTCAGCAGAAGAAAAGAAGTTATAGAAGCAAAACACAACTGCTGGAGACAGCTCTTAGTGAGCAAAGGAAAAAAAAAATTTGATAATGAACTTGCAGCAGCTGTTAATGCTAACGTTGGCTATGTAGCAATAGCAAAACCTGTATGTAGCTCTTTTAAAGTACAAAAGAGCTTTACTGTGACGTTTCGGTAAATTACTGTTCACCGTGTATTCATGTCTTTTGTTGTTAGTGCGTTAATGAAGCCATTTTGTGGAAGATCTCAGGTTGATTCACGTCTAGTGCTTGAAACACAAAAGCGTGATCACTGGCTTTTGAACAGCATGTGTGCACTGATTGCTTCGCATAATCACACGGGTTTCTGTTCTGGCACGTCTATAGCTCTTTTCACAACGTGAAACGGGAGATTGAGTTGGTTTCAGAAATCCCTGACACCTCCAACTCGGGATTACAAGTCGGAGGCCGACGTGAACCCACAATTTAAACAACACGACATGAATGTGGCTTTACTTCATCCCTGGTAATACAATCCACTGAGGAGCCATCTTGTTGGAATGAAGTGAAACTGCCACTTTAAATGTTGGTGTCACCCGGCCTTAAAGATGACGACAGGGGTGAAAAAATGACTTCAGTGCCCAGTTCACTCCCCTTAATGTAACCTGTTGTGTTCACTACAGCAGTGATGCGTGCGGTGGCAGTGGCGCTGATACCTGAGCCTCACGGGGCCGACTGAGTCGTGGCTGAGGTGCCGGAGTCATTGAAAGGGTTGGAGATGACCGACTTGTGAATGAGCATGAAGAGGGGCAGGTAGGCCAGGAAGTCCAGCAGGTCCAGCGGGGGAATGTGCTGGAGCTCCAGTCTGATGGCCGCCTCCTGCTCCACATGGATCCCCCCGGCCTTCAGCTCCAGCAGCAGCTGCTCTGCGCTGATGAATCCCTGCTGCGCTCCTGCGTCTCCTCGCTGCTCCTCCAGGAGGAACAGGAACAGTTGCTGCCCGAGTCAAAAACATCAAGACATCAATACGGTTAAAAAAGCAGGAGGACCGGCTGTGGACTTGTTCTCGGCACAGTTGTGAGTGTGTGGGTGTTTGCTTCGTGTGTGAGTATGAGTGTGTTTTTGTGTGTTTTGCTCTTTGGGGCAGCCTCATATTACCGCAGCCTGTTTTCTAGTCTTGTTTGAGTGCACCTGTTTGCACAGTTGATGCAGCCTAGGTAATAATTGTTTGGGGGGGGGGGGGGGGGAATAATCCCTCTGGCAATTAGCCCCCCCCCCCCCCACCGACATCTCCAGTTAACAACCCTATCCCTAACAGCTCTATAATTACACAGCCTCCCCTACCTGGCCAAGGGCTCAGTTTCCACACCCACGGCCACAGGCTTTCATGTTCCTGCTGCCTTTCAGTGGCTCAGTACTTCCCTGTATGAATGAGGGCCGGGCCTGCCTGTGAGCGGCCAGCTGGTAGGCTGGTCCCGGTCCATCTGAGATGAGCCGTGTGTCTCAGGCTGATTACAGGGCTGGGCGGAGTGGACGGCATGTTCACTGCTGGGCACTTTAATGAGATTAGGCCCGTGCTAATCTATGAAAAGGGAAAAGCACCCCTCTCTTTCTCTCTCTGGCTTGCTTTCCTCATTTCTATGCATGAGGGCTGAGTGCCTCTCATAAAAAAAAAGCTAGCTTTACAAAGCATGCTTTGGAATTGCTCTTCAAAGTGTTTACCAGTATTTATTTCATTATAATTATACCCGCGGAGCCATGAAAGGGAGGCGGAGGTGGTGTTTGTGGCGTGAATGTGGCTAATGTGAGAGTTAATCTGACGTTGCGTGGACGTAATCGAGTGCACCTTGTGAAATTAAAGGGCACAGACATGTTGTGTGGAGGGGTTTCGTTTCACTGTATAAGCTGTCAGACGTGTAGGATTTTAAGAAATGTATTGACATCACCTTCGCTTTGAAGAGCCTCACTTCCAGAGAGCGGAAGTCCATACTGCTGACGAGCGACCGCATGAACTCACTGTAAGACAGCAACAACAATCCATCATCAATTCCTGAACACAAGAATTTTAAAGGCTGATTTAGTTTTACATTTTCATGAAGTTGGGCGTCTTGCGAGAGAGACGTTAAATCAAGAATGGTTCAAACTGGAGCAGCACAGGTCGAGATATCTTGACTTGTAGTCCCTAGAATGCGTCAAGATGGATCCTACGCTTCCCATGATGCAGCTCAAACTCCACAACCTCAGTTTGCGAAGCAGCTTTTGTTAGAACTTATAACTTCTCCGAGCCCAAAGTGAGATAATGATGTTGAAGTGTAAAATCAGAGGAGTGCACTTACATCACAGCACAAATAATCAATAATCAAAATTCATTCATGATTTTCATCAGTGTAAAATCTGTTGGTGTTTACTGCGGTCACCACTGCGGGCAGCGTGAGGACAATCTGGTGGTCGTGGCGGGTGATTTTTGGCGGGTCCGTCCCGTGCGATGTTGTGTTTGCAGAGACGTGATGGTAAAGTGTTCTGAGCCCATTGTGGTTGCTCACTGCGGCCTAGCTGCCAAACAATGCGTGGGTACACGGGGACATCCCGCCACAGTAACGGATAAAACTGCTCTGGTTTTGGGACAGTGGGTGTGTGTGTGTGTGTGTGTGTGTGTGTGTGTGTGTGTGGTGGTGGGGGGGGCTGGGGTAGGGTGGAGCAGGGTGAGTGGGGTGAGTGTGGAGGTTTTAGGGAGGGAAAGGAGCGACCGGAGCACACTCTGGTGCAATGTGACCGCTCGCAGACCGACAAAATCTAGGTCCACTCGGATAATTAGAGGGAGACACGACCGATTGTGCTGGGACAGACCTCTCCTGTCCAGCGTGTGGCACAGCGACGGTCGTCCCTTCCCTAACGAGCGCCCGGTGTTAATGAGCCCCTCCTCACCGAGCGCTCAAAGGCCTGTTAGAGCGAAGAATGGCCAAGCGCTGGGCCATCGAGTGCAATGCACGCCTGAGCGATCCCAGTGCCGTGATTGGCCCTTGTGCGCCAACCACAGTGCAAGGGTCGGGGGGGGGGGGCTTGATGGGGATGAAGCGAGACAGGGCAGCTAATGATCATTAATTGCACTTGGTCTGCAGTAAAAGAGTCCAAATGCTGGTGCGCTAAGGACACTGGCGTGATAATGGCTAGCGTAAACGTGGGGCTGGGGGACCGGTGACGGACTGCAGGGAGGATAATAGCAGCCTAACCCATTTTCTTTTGTCGGCCCTCCTCTGGCACCCTGCTGTGGCCAACACAGCAGACTTCTCGCTTACGTAATGCCAAAATTTTGGCGGTCTCGTCATTGGGGAGCTGGTATACAGTGAGGCAGGGGGTGCAAACATAATCTGACCTAGTTTGATTTGACAGAACTGAGAGTTGTTTTGGGAGATTTGTGAGCGGGCTGCTGCTGCTGCTGCTGCTGCTGCTGCTGCTGCGGAGGCGGCGACGGCGGCGGCGACGCTGGGTTGCGAGGGAACTCTCTGGAGGAGTTTATGCACGTGTTGTCAGACAGTTTATGCCGCGCCGGGTGGTGAATCCAGCGTTCTGCTGTCTTCACCCCCCCCCCCAATGTTACTCGCTGACTCACTCAGTGCAGCCGAGTTCCAGGAGACTTACGGTAACCCTCAGCGCACGCGTGCATGCTCGCAAAGTCCAACGCAAGCAGCGAGCGAGGAGAGCGTCCGGCTCTACTGATGCTGTCTGGGAATCCTGTATGGCAATGCACTTCTTGGCAGGTCATGTGACTTGCCCTGAGGGAATGTGGCGCTGTGTGAGGTGGACTTGTCGGGGGAGCACAATGCGACACAGGGACAGATGGGCTGAGTCATGGGCCAAAACAGCACGGCACGGGAGGGGTGGGGGGGTGGTGGCGGGAGGGAGGCAACAAGAGGGGCCGGGGAGATGACAGACGTGACATTAGAAGTTGAAAAGAAAAGAGGAGAGTGAAAGGGGGGACGAAGGGTGCAATTAATGCAAGGTACAACTGGGAGATATACAGTAGAAATGTGGGTGCACCTCCTCAGATTTCAAAGCCTTGGCTGATCAGAGGGGCTGATTGTGTAACTACTGTTGCAGCTCATTTCTAAGCTCGGATTAGAGACAACAGGATTAGCCGAAACAGGTAAGAGGATCAATTTAGTTCAGTTGGGATGAGATGACAGAAGGATGCTATTGTTTTCTCCTTGTTTAGGAGGCAGCATTATGAACGCTGATCTTCTCTCTTCTTATTATTTAAATTGCAGAAAGGAGTTTTGTGAAAGGAGGTTTAATATGGACATTCATTATCATTACTATAATTGCCTCTATACAGAGCGGACACCCTGGTCTTTCAGTGCCAGCGCGGCAGCCAGTCTACAGCCTTCCTCTAACACACAACACAAAGGGCTGGCCGTAAATCAGAGGACCCGTGACCCTGGCCCCGTCCTCGCTGAGAGGAGGCTCTCACTCCAGGGCGAGGGCTTTGGGAGCAGGCCTTGACCCTCGGGGACCTCCGGAGTAGGCTTGGCTCCACACACTCCTGTCTGCAGGAAGCTATAAACCCCAGGGCAGGAGGGGGGAAAAAAGCGCTGTGTGTGGGAATCTGCAGCATATGGGGCATAATGTAGAGAGACAAGGAGCGCTGAGGCCGAGTTCAAGTCGGATGGTGATGGGTTTCTGTCGGCACAGGGTTCAAATGAGGGCTGCAGCGAGCCGTTACTTTATTAGATGATGTAGAAAATTGTGAAAAATAAACGTTAACATCCTCAGATGTCGTGTTTTTGTTCGACCAATGTTTCACAGCTCAAACATCTTCAGTTTACCGTCATGTGTGACAAAGAAAAGCTTCAAACCCTCACGTTTTAGAGAATGTTTCTGCATCTTTAGCTCAATAAAAGATTATTTTTCTGTCACGCGTCCGTCGTATGTGCCGGTATCACGTCTAAACTTGTGACTCTGACCTCTCTGCAGTCCTATAAAATGTTTGAAGACACAAGGAGAAGGGGATCAAAGAGAGCCCCACACACGACGACAAAATCACTGGAACAAACTTGCGTACACACACTTGTTCTTATTTATGGGAGGTCAGTGACTCCTCTCCCGGCCTCAGCGAGGAGCGAGGAGCGTGTCCGCTGACGGTCACTTACTCCATGGCGGCTATTTTCTGCGCCAGGCTCGCAATCACAGCGAAGAGCCTCAGGTCCACGAGCCCATCTGTCACCCTGAAGTCCACCATCTCCAGGATCTGGAAAAGGTTTGATAATCAACACTGTGACTGCTGTGTGTGTGTGTGTGTGTGTGTGTGTGTGTGTGTGTGTGTGGAGGCTGACCCTGTAGACGTAGATCTCCTCTTCGTCAGACAGCAGCTCGGGAGGGATGATGTTTTTAAGAGCAAGTAGAACCTGAAGGCAGGAGATGTAACCGTCACCATCACTGTCCTCCTGCAGACAAAGACCATCATCACCATCATCATCATCATCATCATCATCATCATCATCATCATCATCATCATCCAGAGGTACAAGTCTCCACTATTTCCCAAAGTTCACTCTTGACCTTGGAAACAGCCTTCCCTTTTCAGATCTGAGGACCATGAGAAGCAGCTGAAAGCTCCGGGAAATCCTCGTTAATATGAGATTTTTGTCAATATAAATTTTATTATTTTGCCCTTAAACCGTCTCTTTATTGTTTCAATATATCTTGGGAGCTGTGTTCGGGGGTCCGGGGCCCGCCCCTGATGAAAGATAATAATATTTTAAGTAAAAAGGCCAGAAGGTCAGAAAGGCTCCAGCTTCTCAGATGTTAATACTTGCTGGTTTTTCTTTGATTGTTAATTGAATAACTTTGTGTTTTGGACTCTCGGTGGGACGAAACAAGTGATTTAAACATGTCAGCTTAGGTTCTGAGAAACTGACAGATACAATTTGTACGCCACATGTTAAAGTTGTAAGAAAATAAATACAGGATCAATCAATAAAACAATCATTAGTTGCAGCCCTGTCATGATCATAGAGAAAAATCGCTTTATTCTTCACAGGGAGAGGAACATATTACAGTAGAAGAGAGTATCTGAATATAAAGGCTTTAAATCCCTTTTCACTTACTGCTTGAAAAGCTCTTTTGTACTCGTCCAGCTTCTCCTGACTGAAAATGCAATACTTTGCCAAAAATTCAACTGGAACGAGAAGAAAACAAAGACAAAGTTTAGAGTTTGTAGAATCTGAATTCACAGTCGTTTCTGGCTGCACAAGAGAGACAAAAAAAAAAAAAAAAAACCGTCAGTCTACAAGACGCTGATCTGTTCTGTGTTTGACGTTTCATACGATGTACGACAGAGATTTCCAGCCTGAGCAACAACATCAGGCGGCTCTGTGTGTGCAGACTGGATTAGAGCAATATTTCTCTCCNGCGGGGGGGCAGGGGATGGGGGGGTTAGAGTGACACTTGGCTGCAGGACTTTTTTTCAGTCAGGACCTCGACATGAACTACATCACCCTGCCTCATCAGGAACAACAACAGCAACAACTTTGATAATTGATCAGTTGTTTAAGTCAATTTCTTCCCGTGAAATTTCTCTGAATCCATCTTTTCAAATAACAGGATTTCCTGCTTCTTTGGGTTTATGTGACAAGAAACTGAATCTCTTTTGGTTTTAGACATTTAGACAAAATGAAACACATGAATTTGAAAGAGAAGAAAATAATTGGCAGATTGTGATTGTGAAGATAATTGTTAGTTGCAGTTCAACCTGAACGTCTAGAAACACCTGAGCTCAAGTTTGTGCCTTTAAGACCTTTAATTTTTTATTATCATTAATATTATATCATTATAAGTAAAACTCACGACTTTGTGACTTTATATGTTCATAATCCTCAAAGTTTCCTCTCTAAAAAAAAGACTTTTAACTGATGTTTGTAATAAGAAAACAGCAGTTTATTTCCCTGACTTTACTGTAATCACAGCACAAGTCTCAAATATGAAAATGATGATGACATGAGGGGCACAAACGGAGACTGACCACACCCATGAATATTTCACTAGGCAAATTTGTGAGGAAGAAAGATTTGGAAAAAGAAGGGGGGGGGGGTTAGAAAATGGGGGCTTTTAAGCTGCTGCCACTTCAATTTAGGAGATGAGAATGAGTCTACTGAATAATGGATCTATTCATTGGTTTGGAGAAGAAAGAGGAGCAACAGAGTTGATATCAGTCTGGACTTAAACCCCTGGACCTCTGGGGTTTCTCCGCAGTAGCAGGGGGGCTGTTTGAATCTGCCATTTATCAGCTTAGGCCTAATCAAAACCAGGCCTTCCGCAGCCTCGTCCTTTCACATGCAAAACCTTACATTCGTATCTAGTCAACTTGACTTGTTAAAGCTTGATTGATCAAAAAAAAAAACCCTGCAGGCCGACCTTGTGCATCTGTTTGCAAATATCTGATGAGAAGAAGCTGCGGGACGAGGATCTGGAGTCGCACACGCAGCCGCCGCTCGGCCCGCATGAGACCCAGGCGGGGATTTAAAGTCCTCTGTCTTCAAAAAGACGCCACGCATTCACACAGTGGCTGGATCAGCGCGCCGGGTCAGTCTGTTGAAGTGAAACGGCAGCTTGTGCGGCAGGGCCGGCAGAGGTTGGGGTTCAGTGGCCATCTGGAGGAGAGTTAGCCGTTGACCCGTGGTGACTTCAGTGACACCAGCAACACAGATACCAAAATATTTATTAAGAGTGTCCCACGGTGGTTCATTCTGCTCTGGACTCGCTGATCAGAAGCATCCAGGTGAGTGTGTGGCGAGCTTTTAAATTCATCATCATCTCTGACAATCAAACACACTCAAAATCAATACCACAGATGCATCGTGGGTTAACTTTACCCATACCCACTGGTAGAAAACCACCCAAGAAAAGGGGTTATTTTCATCCAGTAACCCAACAGTAACATAAAAACTCTGCCAAACAACATACACCAGAAAACAAAATCAAATCCATAGTAAATAATCAAAATCTGCACCAAAATTTAACGGTCTCTTCTCCGGCCCAGGACCAATCCCTCCATCAGATCCGGTGCAAATCATTTCAGTACTTATTGCACAACCCTGCTGATAAATAAACAGATATGGGTGAAAACCAAGCGGCAAAATCCGAGGCTGAAAAATGAAGCCAAAACGGTAAAAACAAAAAGTGCAGTTCTTCGACGGGCTCCAACAGTGACTCTGTCCCCATAGACTCCCATGTTAAAATGTCCAACTGTAATCTTAAGGAATCTTAATTTACCCGTTTGCAAGTTCTGCATAACTGAGGGCGTGCCGCTTTGAGTGACAGGTGGGTGAGCGTATTCACAAAGGTGCTGCCAAGACGGCAACGGCGGAGCAGCGCACTCCGAGCTTCAGAAAACTAAAGGTGATGTCACCGAGGCTGCGTCCATCTTTATTTCCAGTCTATGGTGGAAACAAAACCCCATTGCCGGAGGTAATAACAGTAAAGCTAAAGTTAGCTTTTAACCTTCTGATGTTTAGTGTGTGAATTGTATTTATATCTGCGATAAGTAGAAAATAACATATTACATCATTACTTACGATAACCAGATGCATAAATATATGTTAAACTGACTAAACATGTAAAGTAATACTATGAAATTGTGTATTGAAGCACTCTGGTGCAGCACCACCTGGACTAGCTACATCCTGTGCTGGAATGCAACTCAGTTCTGTAATTAAAAACAATTCTGAGGCACATTGAGTGATTTTTCCATTTGCTTTACTTTGTACGTCACCTCCATTAGATTCCATACACTACGTCACACCTGCAGTTACTTTGCCGTTTGAGAGTTTACTTGATAAAGATGTGAAAGTGTAACATGATAAACTTGTGGTATTGGATGTAAATGTTGGTTTCGTCACAGGCATTTTTATATGTGTAATGTTTTGCAGCTTGAGAGACAGACAGTGTTGTAGGGTGAAGATTAAAGGGGCTTTGAGGGGTTTATCAGTGATTTACTGGGAAAACAATGACAAAAAGAGAGGTGAAATTATTATTTTGAGGAGAATATATTTCAAAATAAGATCAATCTTACACCGTTACTGTTCCTATGAATCATGACGTTGGGTCATTAGGATAAACTGGAAAAGACATCAGAGTTGAAGTGGGTTCAACCTCAACATCAGCCCTGAGTGCAGCCCTGCTTGTTCTTAGCTGCACTGCTGCTTTCTCTGCAACACACACACACACACACACACACACACACACTGCAGCGGTGGTGCTGGAGGAGGTCGGGGGGTCCCTGGCTGAGGGGAGCTCCGTCAGGGAATCAGCCGGACAAAAGGTGCAGTGGAGTGAGAGATTGAGGGAGGAAGCGAGGGCGGGTGGAGGAGCGGGACAAAGCCGAGGCAGTAAAGCCTCCTGCCTGATAGCCTTATCTGATTCCACTCCAGCGCTTGATGGCTTTTTTTCCACCCTGCCTTTAAAGCGCACAGGTTGTGCTTTTGGTGTGAAGCCTAGCAGAAAATGTTAATCAAGAGAGGGACTGTGTGGAGAAAGGCGAGAGAAAGGGGAGAGTCACTCTGCAGAGGCCATAATCTGTAATGAGACCGAGGCGATTCAGTTGCAATTGAGAGAGGAAGAATGGGGCCATGATGATGATGAGCAGGGAGGTTCACTCTTTCACTGGCGTTTGTTTTTCTGTTTTGTTCCTTTTCTCTCGCAGTCACTGCTCGCGCACCGGTCTGCAGGCTGCAAACAGCCGCGGGTCACAACTCATTTAACACACACTTGGACGTCAATTTCAATGTCTGCAGCTGACAGATGAAAAACACTGCCGACTGCTCGACTGACAACTATTGGTACTCATCTGTGTATGATTTATATTTGCCCCTGCGGATCAAACCCTCGGCGCTCCGACGAAGGCCGGTCGAAAGCCATCAGGTACTGAGCGCTGGCATCAAACATCTGGGCGCATTCACACTTGTTTACTCTTTTTTTGATCAAATAGTTTCTTATTTAAAGCACAATTTTGCCAATTTTAGAGTTGACATAAGAAAACATTTCACCTTGGAGAAGAAAAAAAAAAGGTTGTGTAGAAAAAGATGTTTATATTTTTCAAAACAAGGTGTTAAAAAAGTATCAAACCACGTTCACTTTTTGCCCAGAAATCAGGAAATACTGTTTATTGTTTTCTTATTTGGTCAAAATTGTAAATACCAAAAAGAGGAAACTTTAATTCTATTTACTTTTCTGCCACGACAGTTTCCTCCTACATTAGTTTTCTTCAGTCGGCCTCGGTTACGACAAGTAAACTGTCAATTAATTGTAATTGTAAACTGGAGTTTACTGACGATAACTAATATTTTTAAAAATGAAATTTTGATATTGTGTTAATAATACAGGTATGATAATACCATGATGGATCTTTTGTTCATCAGTTCATCTTGTTGCCTTTTCACCATCTCTTACTCTCTTATTTGAGTCTCATTTATTTGCCAAAAAAGAGTCAAAACACACAATAAACAAAGTTAAAGAGCATTTTTTTTGTGTGTCTTCAAATCTCCTATAAATATCGCGATAATATCGTTAACGCGATTTCTTTTGGCCACGATAATCTGATAGTGACATCTTTGCTCGGCTCCATCTGTGACTTCAGTACTTTCTACGACACAATTTATCTTCTTTTGAAATGTGGATAAATGTTCTCAGTAGCTGAAATATCTTTATAGCTCGTATTTCCCAAAACAAAAACTGAGGAGATTTCAAATTTCAGTTGGACTTTCAATCATAATTTTGTCCATTTAGACTGTGTTTCATTCAGGCAAAGTTCACTTGTGTTCACTTTTATAAAAGGGTAACAGCAAAACACTGACCTGTAATCTGTACAGAAACTCATCTTTACATTATTATCATTGAAAAGTCTTAATCACATCGCGCCCTGCTGACCAGTTTGATGCCTTAACTTACAATAAAACACAGTTTACAGTTACACACAAAAAAAGCACCTCTATAACTAACTAAAGGGTGTCACACACACAAACACACACAGGGCTCTATTGTGCTTTTAACGTGTTTGTCGCTCTCTTTCCCGCTTAATCCCAGACTTTTGTTTCTGCTCATCATCAACTCTGTATAAAGTATCCCATAATTCCTTTAAACAAAGGTCACATTCAGCGGCAGAGAGTAGGTGACCCCCTTTTT